CTGCTTCTCCCTCTGACCCTCCCCCTCTCATGCTCTCTGTCTCCCATTCTCTCTCTCTCAGATAAATAAATAAAATCTTTAAAAAAAAAAAAGAAGAAGATTTTAAATATTGATTCAAAGACTTTTGACTTTCTATGTATTCCCAGTATGGTTTTAGTGAATTATATTTTTTCTACAAACTTCCCATTTAAGTTTTCAAATGTGTTGGAATAAATTTCTTCATAGTATTTTGATTATCTCATTTTTCTCCACTGGATATATAATATGCCCCATTATTCTTAATACTATTTAGTCGTATCTTCTCTCTTTTTGTTCCTTGTCAATATCACTGTATCAGTATCCATTGTATTAGTTTTTCAAAGAACCAACTTTCAGGTTCAGTGAGTCTATTTTCTATATATTTGCTTTGTATTGCTTTTATTTCTACTTTTTCATTTTATCTACATTCTATATTCCTTAGGTTTAATCTAATTATTCTTATTCTTATTTATTAGGTTGAATACTTGAAACTTCTAATCATTTTTTATCTACTATCAGCATTTAAGACTACACATTTCCATCTAAATACCATTTTTGCTACATTCCATAAGTATATTTATTTGTTTATTGCTTAACCACTGGAATTTAATATAACAGATGCAGTTAACTCAACACAGATGCAGGCTTACTTGTCTAAAGAAAGCAACAGAAGTGACAGTATGTGTTTCAAGTTAAGTCTTCAAATTTAATACTCAAACACTGCTTTTATATCAGTGAATGTTGTTTTCATGTTTTGATACATGGTATTTTAATTATTATTTATTTGCAGAATTCAGTATGGTATCTTCTTTGACTCTCTATAGAAGATTTTTTTAGGGGCACCTGGATGGCTCAGCCATTTGAGTGTCTGACTCCTGATTTTGGCTCATGTCATGATCTCAGAGTCATGAGATCAAGCCCCTTGTCAGGCTCTACACTCAATGCAGGGTATGCTTGAGAGTCTCCCTCTCCCTCTGACCCTCCCCCCACTCACATGGGTGCTCTCTCTCTCTCTCTTAAATTTAAAAAAAGGCAAGTTTTTTTTAAGCAGTTCCAAATGTATGGCAAATCTGTTAATATTTTCTTTAATGATTTTAAAATTATAATTATTATCAGAAAACATAGTATATATGATGTCAACTCTTCAAAATTTGTTAAATTTGACGGGTGCCTGGGTGATACAGTTGGTTAAGCATCCAACTCTTGGTTTCGGCTCAGGTTCTGATCTCAGGATTGTGAGACTGAGCCCTGAGTCAGGCTCTGTGCTCAACGGGGAGTCTGCTTGGGATTCTCTCTATCCTTCTGCCCCTCCCCACTCCCCACTCATGCTCTCTCTCTCTACAAAATAAATAATCTTTTTTAAAAAAACTGTTAAATTTGAACTATAGAATGATACACTTTCAGTCTTTGTAAATATCTCCTATATGATAGAGAAAACTGTGTATTCTATAACTGCAGGGTGCAGTACTTTATAGTACTATTTTTAATATTACTTTTATTTTTTTTTTAAATTTTACTTATTTATTTGACATAGAGAGAGACAGTGAGAGAGGGAACACAAGCAGGGGGAGTGGGAGAGGGAGAAGCAGGCTCCCCGCTGAGCAGGGAGCCTGATGCCGGGCTCAATCCCAGGACCCTGGGATCATGACCTGAGCCGAAGGCAGACGCTTAACGACTGAGCCATCCAGGGGCCCCTAATACTACTTTTAGTATTTTTAATAATATTAGTAAATGAATGAAGCCTTTAAAATACCCTTTTCAAATTTCCTTTATCTATACAAGTGTTTTTGTCTTTTGGACTCATCAGTAATTGAGGTATGTGCTGAAATATCCTACAGTGATGAAGGACTAGTCAATTTCCCCCTATAATTTTAATTTGGGGTTTATATATTTTAAGACTATTTTAGCTGTGCATACAATTTTAGAATTCTGATAGTTTTCAGGTGAGCTGCATCTTTTATAATTATTTAATGTATTTTTAATATTAAAAATATGTCTTACCTCTTGAATAAGGTTATCACATGTAAAATTAATACTGCTATCCAGCTTTCTTACAGTTATTCTGTTATAACTGTTCCTAAGATTTTAGTTTGATGGTTCTCAATTGGGCGTGGTTCTGCATCCCAGGGGACATGCAGCAATGTGTGGAGACTTTTTTTTTCTGTCATAACTGGGGGAGGATGCTACTGGTTAGAGACCAGGGAGGCTGCTAAACATCCTACTATGTACAAAATAGCCTCCAGTGAAAAAACAGAAGTATCTTTCCAAAAATGTCAACAGTTCTGAAGTTGAGAAACCCTGCTTTACTTCAATCTTTCTTGTCCTTCTGTCTCACATATACTTCTTTTAACAGTTAGATTTTTTTTTTTATTTACTCTAACATTCTCTGTCTTTTAACTAGTCAGAGTAACTTACTTACATTCAATTGTATTACTCAACTACTTAGAGTTTTTGCCATCTTTTTTGTTTCAGGTTTTTCTTGCTTTTTAAAGTATGCATCTCTTTTTCTCTCTTACAAAATTAACCGAGATTCTGTTGATTTCTATACTGTTTGTGTAGTTATATACAATCTTAGGTTTGTGGATGCCCTTAAAAATTTACCCTACACACTTTGTTTTAAAATTCCTAAAAGTTATTATATTTGGTTCATTTTCAAGTCTATATTGTATAATTCCATGTTCATTACTAATTTTTATAATGCGATCTTGTTTTAAAAAATTATTTATACTCTGTGTCTGATAATTCCAATATCTGACTGACTTCAGAGTCTAAATTTCAAGATGGTTTTTTGTGCTGACTCTAAATGATGGCATCTTCCCTTGTGAGTTTTGCAATACTTGATATTACACTCATGTCTGGTTGATAGCAATTGTGGAAACTGAAGTATCAGCCAAAACTGAGGATGGCTTCATTTAGAACGGAGGTTCACAAAGTGTGGTCCATGCATCAGCAGTATAAGTATCATTTGGAAACTTACTAGAAATACAAATTATTACATACCATGCCAGGCTTCCTGAATCATAAATTCTGGGGATGGGAAGCAACAATCTCTTTTAAAAAGCGTCTCAGGTGATGCTGATATACACCAACGTTTAAGAACCACTGATCTAGAGAAGATTTGCTTGCTTCTGCTGAAAGGTAGAGGGATTTACTCACGTGAACTATTTTAGCCTCTTCTGGTGTCCCTGGATTAATCCAGGAATTTGAGATTGTTTCCCTACCTTGAAGAAGTCTCAAGTTTTAAGAACAAGCCTGCATTTGGCAGATTATTACAGCTCACCACTCCTACTCTGGTTTCAGCTTGTAAGTATGTACTGGTTTGGTCTGGTTTGATCTGAGCCCTTTGGAGACCTCCCACATTTCTCAGAAGCCAGCAGTTAATTAATTAACTAATTAATTAAACACACACATAATCTACTTGTTTTGTAATATGAGGGTACATAATGTATCTAGGGCAATATACTATTAGGGTTTGGGATGCTGATAAATTTTTTTAAAAAATGAAAACAGTCGGCATTCTGCTATACTATGTACATATGATAGGCAGAATTCTGAGATGGTCCCCAAGAGCCTTAGTATACATACAAACTCTCTAATTCCCACCCCTTGGGTGGCAGAATCTGTAAATATGATATCACTCTGGTGAATCAGCTGTGTTATACAGCCATGGTAAAGGGACTTTCCATATGTAATTGACATCCCTAGTTAAATAAATTCAAGTAAAGCAAAAGGAAGATTATCATGGGTGGATTAGACTTAATCAGGTAAGATCTTAAAAGAAGGTTTGGAGGTCAGAGACTGAGAAGTCAAAAGATGGTCACTTCTGGCTTTCATTGAGTAAAGTACAATGATGGGAGGAGGATTTGGCCAGGATGTGAGGGTGGCCTCTAAGAGCTGAGAGTGATCCCAGCCAACAGCCAGCAAGAAAATGATACCTTAGTTCTACAACTAAACAGATTAATCTGCCTACTACCAGAAAGCTTGCAGGAGGACTGAGCCTCAGATGAGACAGCTGCTATAGTCTGTACCTTGAGAACATAAACAGTGGATGCAGCTAAACAAACCTGGATTTCTGACCCAAAGAAATTATGAGATAACAAATTTCTGTTTTAAGGCACTAAGTTTGTGGTAATTTGTCACACAGAAATAAAAAGCTTGCTTCTTGTACCATGAAGAGAGACATATCAAAATTTTTTACAAGAAAATCAAATGACTAATTGTGAGGTAATTAAGTGGGCTTTAAATGAAAATGTGGTAAATTTACATTAAGCATTTACCTGAAATAGTTTTGGGGTAAAATGTTGATATCCATCACAGTTGTTACATCCAGAGGAACAGGAGTAAAAAATATGAATGGAGGGTCAAACAATAACATGGGTGATTTCACCTCTCCAACCAAACATAACGTTCGATAGCCAACTGGATTATCATTTAGACGAATGGGAATATCAGCTGTGTATTTTCTAGGATGATCTAATGAAAAACAATTTTTTAAAAGTATCTTAGATTTGTTCACATACACAAAAAACATTTACATAGTTTAAACTTTATTTAATATTAAAATGTACTATGAGGTTACAGCCCAATGGAGAATAGATTACCCAGAAACTGGAATTATCCTGCCAAGGAACTTAAAACATGTTAATGAAGTGTCACTGAATCAAAAATATTCTAAAGTGCACTATGCCTAGAAATAGGGCGGATCTCCTTAAAGCAAATTTTCGTTATTATTGGAAAATACCTATACCTGGAGGAAACAGCGCAACAGGACTTCTTTTTTTGATTCTTTTCTGTGCCTTAACAGGAGCTGCCCGTCCCTTTATTATATGCAGTATGAAGATGAGGTCAGATAGTTGCCATAAGGATTTCAGGGGACTAGTACTGTGAAATGGGTGTGCCGAGAAAAAAGGAATGTTGTTCCTCCCAGATTTTTAAGTTTATGGAAAGCTGCCAGGGTTGACTGGCCAATCTCACCTGGTAGGAAAAGACAGGAAATTCCCATGTGGCAACTCACTATGAGGTAAGGCAGTCTGTGTTGGAGAAAAGGGCTCAGCATCTGAGGCTGCAGCCTAGTCCCAGACAACAGGTTCCATCTCAGCAAGCCGCCAACGCCCTTTTAGACCCAAATGCCCAAACACAGTGTCTCGTAAAGAGAAAAATATGATCTGGTGAGTATGAACTCAAGGTAATATCTTAGAATTCAAAAACTAGACACCAGAATGACCTGGCACAGATCAGGGCCACCAAGAGTATCACCAGAGCACATGATGAGTGTTCTGGATGATGCATGTTCAAAGGTGACACACTGTGAACCACACACAAAAACAAGGTATCATTGAACTGATCATACCCACTAGATTTCTCTGTGCTGGGTGCCTTCACTTGGCCCAATCAGTCTTTTACTTGTTCATATAGTCTAGGATCCTTGGAAAATGAGAGGTGGCTGGAGAGGGAAGTGAATTAGTGACTTCCTACTAATAATGACAGATGAACACTGGAAAGACTTTGTGAAAACATGAGAGACTATATCTATACCTTGAGCTGAGAAAAGGAGTTATAATAGAATTTATGTGTTTAAAACTGTAAATCTATAGAGAAATGATTGTTTCATTTAATGAACCTGATATTGTAAAATTTATTTTGGGGAGAAAGAAAATCAAGTTCATTACTTCCAAAGTTAAGCAAGGTTTTAATTAGGACTTACTGAATTCTGAATTTTGAATGGGCTATTTTGAGATTATTTCTGGGTTTCACACCTGGTAAACATTTCTGGGGTCATGGAGAAGGGGATTCTCTGTGTAACCTAAGACTACTGGACATTCGGTAACACGTTTTTCTAAGCTCAGGTGGTCCTTCTCTCTCATCTGAGATGTAAGTTATATAAATGTGTTACAGATACGTTTTTCTCAAGAGTGAGGTTGAAATCCTAAGAAGGCAACTCATAGATTTGACTGCTTAGGCTTAGCCCCATACTGAAGGAAAAGTCAAACGGAAATGCTACTTATTTCCTTCTAGATTATCTATTTTATTTCATCTGGATAAAAATGTTGATACAGACATAAAGGAGAAGCTCTATACGGAAATACATATGGTGGCTTTAGCGGGACTGGCTTTCCTGTAATTTCTTTCAGGACCAGACATAACAGAAACTGAGAAGAAATACACAGAAATACATAATGAAACCTAATTACTTTTACAAAATAAACTTCAGAATGGGGAGAGTATACGATGTCTTCTATTATATTTTCAGAGTTCTAAACAGAGATAATAAAAGATGAAACATTTTTCAAATCTATCAATCACAGTACTCTATGTACTGTTTCTTGCCATTAAAACTAAAATGATTATAAAATGCCACGCTGAAAAAAACAAAAAACTAAAATGTCATGCTAATAGAGGTACAAGGACACGGAGTTAAGGCAACGCAGTGCTAATAGCATATTACTGAGAAAATATACAGCTGAATGAAATCTAAAAAGCTTAAAAGCCATAATGGGTTCTTATTCTGCCTTTCCTGTTGATAACATAGCTAGTTCTTGGTATTTCATTTAGATTGCCACATTTGTTTTAGATGTGTAAAACAGTACCATCCCAAGGATTCTGACGCAAGTGATTTATGGAGGGCATGCCCTCAGGAAGAACCTGTATATAAGTGAAGAAGGAAACAAAACAGAGGAGGGCAAGAAGTTATGAAAAGGTGCAGTTTTATAATCCAGATTCAAACACACGCAGCTACGGGATGTGAATTCACCAGATAGGTTGTCCCAGCTGAGGGAGAGTTAGTTGGGCCAGCTGAGGTAGTAGCGCTGGTGAAGCTTACCCTCCTAGATACCTCCTTCCGCTAAGGGTAACCTTCTAGAGAAAGGGACAGATATAGCCCGTCAGAAGCCAATACCCACAACTGAGAGATGGATGGGAATACCCAGTAATGGGAATCTGGATGGGCCCAAACAGCATATAGCAGAGACTGCACTCCTAATGTTGCTTTGTAAGTAAGAATAATTAAGAATAATAATAGGTCAGTTACTGTAACACCCTTTTAAATAGAAAAATAGTCTGGAAATGGCATTTGGTGTGCTTATTTAGTTTGGGCATATAAACTGTAAAGATACTGAAGCAGATGCTTCAAATTAAAGACAAATACCAGGATAGAGTTCCTCAAAAAGGAGAAAAAAAAAATCTTCATAGATGTGTTTTCAAGCACCTTCCTGCTGTTCCTTTGCTTCAGTCTGCTTAAAGAAGCTAGTTGTCAATACCCTCACTTCCTGAAGCTCATTACCAGAAAAATTCTATATTTTTATGCAGCAGGGATTCTCATGTTGGGAATTTTCTAAGTTATGTGCCCCCTGGGTTGTGAAACATTGAAGCTATTTACATGAGAACTGAGAACAATCTTATTCAAGGAAAGTGAGAGTCTACCCACCCAAATTAGATTCAAGAACAATGCTTTGGATTCAGAAGGGATTGGAGATTCGCTTAGAGATCAGTATGGGTCACATATTCTATCACAGCCCCAGCCACTGTCCCTGTGGGGGTCCAAGGAAGAGATAAGAAAGGGGGAGTGAAAAGTAAAAACCACCTCACTAAAATTCTTGAAGGCCCTGACCTTATAAGGCAGCTCTGCATGGTGGCCAGTATAACAGGTCTAGCCATGTGGAGTTATGTAGATCCACATGACTTTTATTGATGGCAAAGGATGTGTCTACAAGGCAAAGAAAAGAGAATGAGACATAAAGGCCCTGACCATGGCTTGGGATAAGAGGGTTACACCACAGTCAGATTACAAGAAAAGAAAAGGGCAGAAGAAAAGTATAATCCATTCCTAATGCCTGCTAGAAGAAAATGGCAGATGCTACAGGATAGCCCAAAGAACAAGGCCAAGATCTTACTGGTATAACTGAAAAAAATCCTAAGTCAATAATGAATGATCCATACACATGCAAAAAAAAAAGGTTGTCAACAGAAACTGTCCCTGAGAAAGTTCAAGCATTGGACATATATACATATGAATATACATAAACATATATTTAAGTTGTGGAGTTGAAAAATACAATGACTGAAATGAAAAATTCACTATAGGGATTCAACAGTAGATTCGAACTAGCTAAACAAAGAATCAGCCAACATGAAAAAATGTCAGTTGAATTTACTGATTCTAAGGAACAGAAAGAAAAAAGGCTTTGATTTGTCTTTAGCTGAAGATGGTATTTAAGCCTGAATTTTAAGCCACTTCTGAGACTTACTCATTTTCCCGAGTTATCTCCCATATATACATGAAATATACATGTATACATGAAATATACATGTTAATAAACTTGTTTTCCAAAAAAGAATGAAAAATGAACAGAGCCTCAGAGATCTATAGGGCATCATGAGGAATACCAATATATGCAAAATAAGAATCCATGGGATGGAGGAGAGACGGAGAGGGAGAAACACTGTTTGAAGAAATAATGGCCAAAAGCATCCAAAATTTAGTTTAAAAAATTTAATTAAAAAAACATTAATCTAAACATGTAAGAATTTCAGTGAACTAAAGTAGTCATCAAAAAACTTCTCACACAGAACAGCCAAAACTCAAATGCACTCATTGGTGAAATCTACTAAACATTTTGCGAAGAATTAATATCAATCGCTATATAAATATCTTTATATTAATATATATATTAATATGTATGAATATGAGTACTTCCCAAGACATTCTCTAAGACCACAGTAACAGAAATGAACACTTCTGTTTATGGCCAATTGATTTTGAACAAGGGTACCGAGACAATTCAATGAGGAAGCAATATTCTTTTCAATAAATGGTGCTGGTACAAGTAGATATACCCATGCAGAAAAATGAGGATGGAGCCCTACCTTACACCATATTAAAAAAAAAATAACTCAAAATAAGCCATAGACTTAAATGTAAGAGGTAAAATTACATGATTTTAGGAGAAAACATAAGAATAATTCACCATGACCTCGGGTTATGTAATGTTTTCATAGATATAACACTGAAGGGGCACCTGGGTGTCTCAGTTGTTAAGAATCTGCCTTTGGCTCAGGTCATGATCTCAGGGTCCTGGAATCGAGCCCCGCATCAGGCTCCCTGCTCAGCGGGGAGTCTGCTTCTCCCTCTCCCTCTACTCCTGCCCCTGCTCATGTTCTCTAATAAATAAATAAAATCTTTAAGAAGAAAAAAAGATATAACACTGAAAAGCCAAAGTAACAAAAGAAAAATTAGATAAATTAGACTTCATCAAAATTGAACTATTTTCCATTAGTTGAAAAGAGAAATCTCAGAATGAAATAAAATATTTTCAAATTGCATATCTAACAAAGTAATTTTATTCAGAATATAAAAAGAAGAGTGACAACTCAAAAATAAAAAGACAGCCAAATTTTAAAATCAACAAATGTTTCGGGGCGCCTGGGTGGCTCAGTTGGTTGGGCGACTGCCTTCGGCTCAGGTCATGATCCTGGAGTCCCAGGATCGAGTCCTGCATCGGGCTCCCTGCTCGGCAGGGAGTCTGCTTCTCCCTCTGACCCTCCCCCCTCTCATGTGCTTGCTCTCTCTCATTCTCTCTCTCTCAAATAAATAAAATAAAATCTTTAAAATAAAATAAAATCAACAAATGTTTCAAACAGACCTTTCTCCAAAGATGACATACAAACTGACAATAGGCACATGTAAAGGTACTCAACATCATTAGTCATCAGGGAAAAGCAAATAATAACTACAATGACCTATTACTTCATACTCACTAGGCTAGCTATAATAAAAAAGATTACAAGAAGAGTTAGCAAGGATGTGGAGAAATTGGAACCCTCATTCATTGCTGATAAGATTTTAAATTGTTAAAATTGCTTTGTAAAACAGTTTGACAGTTTCTTAAAATGTTAAACATGGGTGGCTCAGTCGGCTAAGCGTCTGCCTTCGGCTCAGGTCAGGATCCTGGGGTCCTGGGATCGAGTCCTGCATCAGGCTCCCTGCTCAGCGGGGAGTCTGCTTCTCCCTCTGCCCCTCTCCCTTGCTCATGCTCTCTCTCTCTTGCAAAAATAAATAAAATATTAAAAAATATAATAAACATCAAATTATCCTATGACCCAACAATTCCACTCCAAGATATATAACCAAATAAATGAAAACATGTGTCCTCACAGAATTGTATATGAATGTTCATAGCTGTTCTATTCATAAAAGCCAAAAAAGTAGAAATGATCGAAATGTCCATCAAATTTTAATAGTTGTAATTAAAAAATCACACTTTTAAAAATAATCACATCTGAGTGTGAATTTTATCTTTATAGTATCTAATCTAAAATATAAGAATTTAAGGCAAAATAGAAGGCATCTTCTTCCTCTTCTAGTAGTATCCCCATTTAAATGAACAATAAAAACAACTGAGAAAACCAGAAAATAAATGCATACTTGATTTGGAAAGAACTCCTAAGGCAAAGTTAAAAGGGCTCTATTCAGTTCCATATGAGCCAGGAAAAGTAAAAATTGTCTGCACTAGAAGAAAATAAATGAGGGTGACCAAAAGATCAAGGAGGTACTACCCCAGTCCCAACTCAAAAGGCCCCTATAACTCAACTCCAACTCCCCGAAGATTCCATTCTCCATCCAGCTGTTTAATTCTGAAGAACCCAGCACTCTTCATCCAACCTGTTGGCTTTGATCTGCTAGAGTCTTGCCCCTGCTACCTCAATGCCTTAGAGATGGAAAAGACTCCAGCCCACTGATCAAGCAGTAGGAGGAATGGAATGATGCAGTTAGTGTGTAAACACACTAAATGGAAATAAAATTCCAAAGTATTTCAACAATTTCTTGAGTAAGAAATAAACCCATACTATAATTTTGTCTGTGGGCAAGTTCATGAATACTCTTCCATCATAGAACAGATAGGAAAATATGTGTCCAAAAAGGTATTGTTTTCAAAGGTTTAAAGATGATCTAGAGAAGAGAAATAAGATGTATAGTATATAAAACAAAAATTTGATCAATAGATAAAATTTATGAAAAATAATAAAAAATATAAAGGAAATATGAAATGAAACTGTCAGAAAATGAATATATATTATAACACAAAATATGAATAAGTTAAATTCCCCTCCTAAAAATCACATTTCAGTCTTGCTCAGGAAGAAAAGCAAGGTCCTTTGCTTTGCAATACTGGTCTTAAATTTAAAAGACACAGACTGAAAATAAAATGATATATCAACCAAAGGCTGACAAACGGAAGACAAAGTGGCAATGTATCACATAAACAGCATTCAAGCAAATAGCATTTAGTAGAAAAAAGAACATTATTTTAAATGTATATAATTATTTGTAAAATATATATAAGACATAAACTTTTTATAACATACAAAGATACAAAGCAAACCTACTGGAATCGAAAAAGTTTTAACAAACTGCCATTGTAGTAACAGGTTCAGATAGATTATACTAACAATTGTAATGCAATTGTAATATAAATGTAATGTAGCAACATCGTATTAACAGATTCAGGAGGAGAATAAGGCAGAGAAAGAGATATTGTCAATGAAGAAACAAATTCATTAGTTACTATGATTTTAGATTATAAAACTATTTACTTAAAAAACAACACAGAATAGTCTTTGAAAAACTTCCAGATCTAAACAGAGAAGTTCAGTATAGGAGCCAAGAGCCACATAAACTATAAATATATTCCTTTTATATAGTGATAGGTAATTAAAAGGAATTTAAAAATTCTCATTCACAATGACGCATATAAAATAAACTTTCATTACTAGAAAAACACGCTATTCTTTGAAGGGAAAAACTCAATTGTATGCCTTTTTCTAGAAACAGGAAAAAAATAATGTATAGTTCATTTAGAAAAGTAAATGTGTAAGAACGGCCAAGAACTGTTGTGATAGGTTTGTAATGACAGAAAATTTGTCACACCAACTATAAAAAGGTACAGTAAAGTTGTTTAACAAAAAACACCAGTAAAGAAGTGGACGTATAGATAAATAGACATGCTGACCAGCTTCCCCCAAAGCAAGTAACCCAAGAGTACAAGCTAGATGTGGCAATGCGTTTTCTGACCTAACCTTGGAAGTCACAAACCATCACACCCATAATATCCCATGGGTGATATATCAGTCCTATTTGATGTGGGAGGGGACTCTATAAGGGCATGAATACCAAGAGGTGAGGATCATTGGGGTTCATTTTGGGGGATGGTGACCACAAAATTCTAGTATGAAACTTCTTAGAACTGTTTTAAGAACACATAAAAAAATAATCTAAACTTTTGTGTACATGAGAAAAATAATATGTGAGGGATAAATTGATAGGAAATATAGGAAAAAAGTACTTACTTGGACAGAAACTTATGGAAATAGTACATTCTTCGTGTGGTTGCAGAATCCCACTCAGCACACTAATCTGGAATGTGCCATCTTTGAAAAGGTTCCCAGTGTCACTAATATCCAAAGTCCATTCCACATCTTGTTTTGAAGTATTATGTAAGACAAGATCCTGTTTACACACAAAATAAATAAATAAAAGACATCTATAAAAATTATAATATGCAATATAAAATTTAACTTGTTTTACCATGCCAACTTGAAGAACCTATGTACAAAGTTAAATGATTAACAGTGGAATTCATGGATAGTTTTAAAAAGTGATGTTAGGCAAAAAAGGGGTATGCAAGTATGTTCATAGCCTATTAACAACTATGAAAAATACATAAAGGATAGAGACTGGGGTAAAATAAAAATGTCAAAATAGCTATGCTAGCTAGCAAGGATGTAGAGTAGCTACAACCTTCATTCATGATTGTGAGACTGTAAAATGGTACAGTCACTTTGGAAGACAGTTTGGCAGTTTCTTATAATGTTAAACATACAACTACCATATGACCCAGTAATCCCATTCCAAAATATTTACTTAAGCGAAAATTTATGCTCACATAAAAATCTGTACGTTAATGTTTATAATAACTTTGCTCATCGCCAAACAATAGAGGAAAAAACCCCAAGATTTCCTTCAAATAATGAATGGATAAACATTTTGTACAATGGAATAAAATTCAGTGATGAAGTAAGTGAAGTATTAATTCATACAAAAACATAAATAAATATTAAATATATTTTGCTAAGTGAAAGATGCCAGACCCAAATGGCTAAATTTTGTATAATTAAATTACCTGTCAATCTGGAAATGTAAAATTATGTGGATAGAAAAAAAGAATCAGTGGTTGCCAAGTGTTGGTGGGAGGAAGAGTAGCTGACTGAAAAGGGGTTACACTGAGAATTTGTAGTGTCGTGAAACTATTCTGTAATGTATTGAAGTGGTAGACAAATTATTCTACATATTTTTTAAAATCCATAGAACTGTATACTACTAAGAGCAGACTTAAATGTACGTAAATTAAAAACAATCAACCAAGATGTTGAGAATCCCAGGATGGATTGTAGATTACAACATGCTATATTACAAATGTATGAAATAATCTCACGGAAGTTAGTGGGGGTAGGAGGAATGGCCTAAGTAACAGAAAAACTGTGTTTTGACTGGAAACTATATAGCTAAAGACAAAAAAATTACTCTTTATGAACACTGTACTCTAGTTGGTAAACATGTTAGCAATTCTAGCTACAGGATAAAAATTGTGAAACTTCTTTACTAGCACACTAGTAAAAAATAAGCAAATAAATTATAAATAAGAGAACCAGATTTCTCATTGTCAGAGAAAGTAGTTAAAAAGGAGCAAGGAAGAAAGACTGGAACAAGCCTTGTGCTAGATTAGATTAGATTCAGAAATATCAGTTTGAACTCATCTTTAACCAGCTAGATAAACAGATGGATGATGAGATAGAATGATAGAGAAATTATAGATATATGTATATTTACAAGTTAGTATACATACAAATATTTCCTGATTCTATTTGCCAAAAGGGCTTACAACATGTGACACCCCAGTAGCAGCTAGCACATCTAGTGTACAGATCTTGGTTTCTAAATACCATTCTTCCATAAATGGTACTGGGGTTTGTTGGAGAAAATATTGATTCGAGAGCTAGGAAAAAAAATAAATAAAAGATAAGCTGGACCATTTGGTAGTGCCAGAAAGTGTAAGAATGCTTAAAAATCATAACGATGGGGGACGCCTGGGTGGCTCAGTCAGTTAAGCATCTGCCATCAGCTCAGGTCATGATCCTGTGGTCCTGGGATCGAGCCCCGCATTGGGCTCCCTGCTCAGTGGGGAGCCTGCTTGTACCTCTGTCTGCTGCTCCCCCTGTTTGTGTGCGTGTGCTCTCTCTCTTTCTCTCTCTCTCTGACAAATAAATAAAATACTTAAAAAAATGATAATGAAGGAAGCATGTCAAAGGGCCAGTCTAAAAGAACTCTAAAGGGCCAGAGCTGGAACAAATTTAATAACAAAATAAATAATGTAATATTGGATTATAACTGAATGTATAAATATTTGTGAGGTCACACTGACATATTAAGTAATAAAATAACTAATAAAATAAACAAATTTTTCTTACAGAAAAATTTCAAATAATATATATAAATACCCCCCTCCAGAGGGTGCAGCTTGACACCCAACACCTTGAGTGTAGGCTGAAATTGACAAGTCACTTCTAAAATGCAGAGTATGAAAAAACAAAATGTTTATCCAACTTTTTTTCAATTCTCCTGACATATATCACCAGTGATATATGCTGATATCATGTACTCCCTTCACATGATGTGACAAAAAAGACATCTCACCTCTGTTACATTCTTCCCCAAAACCCATGAAAAATAAAAATGCAGTTGAGTCAGGTGGAAAAAATCAGACAAGCTAAAATTAAAGAACATTCTGAAACAATACCAAACCAGTACTCCTAAAAATTGACAAAGTCATAAAAAAATGAGCAAGACTGAGAGCCTGAGCCTGTCACATATCAGAGGAAACTAAATGAAATATGATACCCTTGATTGGACCCTGACACAGTAAAAGGACATTACTGAAAAACTGGTGAAACCCAAATAGAATCTGTTGTCTAATAATTTTGTACTAATGTTAATTTCTTAGTTTTGAAAAATGTTATATGGTTCTATAATGTGTTAATAGGGAAAGCTGTGTGAATAATATACATAAACTCTCTGTACTGTGTTTGTAATGTTCTGGTAAATCTGGGAGCTATATGCATGACTTGTGTGCAGACTTGTCCTTCCAGTACAGCATACTATTAAAATAAAACCTTCATCTAGGTATTGTTTTAACTTTACTTTTCAAAATTTGAAAAGTATAGAATGATCCATACAATTGGCACCACAACAAAATAATGTACTTCATCTCTTTCTAAAGTATGACTGATTTAAAATATTCAGGATTTTAAAATTAGTTAATTTTATTCCCAATGTCTCTCAGTACTTAAACATCTATTTAGGTCTAATATTTGCAGCTTATAAAGAAAACAACATCTTTTTAAAAAGAAGGTGGACATGAAATTGTACTAGTCATTTGAATGCCTCATTTTTCTCATTCTGAAATGAGGAAATGGTAGATCTCTAAAAATAGTCTCCACTTTCCAATCCTATCCCCAAGAATAGAACTGATACAGTCATCTATAAAGAAACACTGTTTGTATGTATCATATTGTGTTATTTTTTAAATAATTTTATCAAGATGATACATGTACACAGATTACACAAATAATTCAAAAATGCTTATAAAAAACAGTTGTCCCAAACAAACAACAACAAAAAACAGTTGTCCCACTCAACTCCTCCTTATCAACAATTCTGCTTCCCTGAAGCAACCAATTTTAGCTAAATTTTGGATTTTCTCTAATCGTTACAGCCTGATTCTAAATACAACATTGATAAGGCTTACTTTAGTTTTCTTATTGCTGCCATAACAAATTACCACAAACTTAGTAGTTTAAACCAACACAAATTTATTAAATTACAGTCTTGTAGGTTAGAAGTTCAACGAGCATATCACTGGACTAAGATCAAGGTGTTAGAAGGAACTATGATACTTTCTGGAGGGGTCCAGAGAAGACTGTTTCCTTGCGATTCCCAGTTTCTAGAGGGCAAACACATTCTTTGGCTGGTGGCCTCCTTCCACTATCTTCATATCCAGCAACATCATATGTCTCTACCCTTCTTCTGTCATCACATTTCCTTCTGAGCACAGTCAAGAAAGCTTCTCTGGTTTTAACCACTCATGTGATTCAACTGGGACCACCTAGACAATCTAGCATAATCTTCCTTGCTCAGGGGCCTTCATCTCCATCACATGACACGTCAGCAAAGTATCTTCTGCAATATAAGATAGTGCACTCACACATTCTAGGGATTGGAATTGGATAACTTTGGGGACCATTACTCTATCACATGGCTATTTCGTGATTTATCAGACCCAGATATTGTCTCCAGTGCCAACTAGTAAAGACGAGGATTTAGCTCATATATATAATCTTCCCTCCTCTGTCCACCTCCAATTTTGGATATTTATATTATTTTAATTCTTTCATTAGTCCCCTGTAGCTTAAAGCAGTATATTTATAACTCTAGTTCTTCTGTCAACTTTAGATAATTCCCTTTAATTACTCACTATGTAAAATGAGTTTCACTCTTCTTTCTTCAACCATTCCCAACCCTTCTGTCAACTTAATCTTTACACATTGTACATATCACACACTTGTCATTTTACATGTAATATACTATATATGATCAAATTTTAATTCTGCCCCATAAACATATTAAGCCTTCTCTGTATTATATATTTTATTATGACTATGTAAATATCATTCATGGCAAATCCAAGCAGTGCATTAGAGTCACATTTCCTTCTCTGTGGGGCCAGTGCAGTGTGACTGTTTCGCCACTCAAGAGAGAAGGCTCTTGTCTAGATCATCTTTTATTATGCCAAGTGAAAAAAATTTCAATGATATAAAATAATCTCACATTTATAAAGCGATTGCTTTTCCTTTGGAATTCAATCCAATTCAGTTCACTAAATCTTCTTTTCTCGCCCCACATACAAAGCCTTTTGCATCCTTGAAGTTATGTTAGAGTTAAAAGTATTACTGATATTTTATACTTGAAACAGTCACATTTTAATTTCAGAAGAGAGCCTTTATTCTTCTCTAACTATAATTTCATATAGGACTCTGCTATTATTTGACACATGCAATGTTAAATACCTTCTCCATATAATTTTTCTTCAAAGCTACAGAGGTTCAAAATTAATTGCAGGAAGGCAATATATTAAGACAATAAAGGGGTACTACAAATACAAATTCCTACTACGTATGCATGAGCTTCCTTCTTATGCATGTCTCTTTTTCTTTCTAGATGGATTCATAATTAGGAGACACAGAAATATCTAGTAAGAAAAAAGAGTAGATTGTCATAGAAGTCACTTTATTATATACCTGGACCTTTCCAATTTTTATTATTACCTTTCACATTTCCTTACCTGACTTGAACATACTTCACATTAATTTAATCATAGCTTCCATTTATATAAGGAGAGTCTGGTAACTTAATTCTATTTAAAATATTTTGAATAGTCCTATTAAATATATGTATATAAAAAAATGGCTGTATACATATTTGTATACTTTGATAATTACTTCTGAGAAATATGATATATACATATGCAAGTTCTCTAAAATTGAAAGTATTCTTACAACACATGCTTCAGAATAATCAACTCAATAAACTAAAAACCATAATAAAAAAAGTTGTAAACTACATCAATTCTCTATACATACCTGAGTTTTTGTGACCTTGTTATTAGGATCCAAAATATGCAATGGCATTTCAAATATAAAATCAGTGCTGGATAGTCTCAATGGTGCTTGCAATACTATGAGAGGAAAGTAAATATACTGATAAAATACTAAGAGATATTAGCTTATAGATAATTATTGCTGTACTTTTCAACACAAAATAAAAAATAATTTTTTTTATCTTTATGTACAAAAAACAAAGTCACACTTTAAAACATTTATAGAATATCATGGTTTATCACATCCATAAAATTCCAATTTTGTGTTTTAATGGTAACTAATTACAAGCACAATAGAAAAATTAGCCTTGAGACAATAAAAGTATAAAATATACTAAATACTGAACTGAGAATAAAGTACACACAATTGAAATGATCTCTATAATAGATGTTTTTTTCTTTTTTTTTTAATTCTTATGTTAATCCCCATACATTACATCATTAGTTCTAGATGAAGTGTTCCATGATTCATTGTTTGTGCATAACACCCAGTGCTCCATGCAG